AAATTAATAACATTTCTTATAATCTGAATCCCCTTGATGGAGTTAATGTCGTTCTTCTCCCTGCTGATATTGATTCCACTATCCAGAGGATGTGTACCCAATATAGCACTTGGGTTAATCAATTTGACACGCAAAATATTTTATCGAATAACATTTTTTCCGATCTGACTTTCTATGATAATAGAGTTAATCTATTTGATGATGCACCATATAAAGGCTTTGATAGTCGGCAAAGCTTTGTTTACGAAAATTGTTTAAGCAGCAAGAACAAATTTCTGATTTACAAAAACAAATTTCTGAATTATCTAACTTAGTATACAGTCAGACCTCTCTAAATGCAATGCAACGGGACCATCTATAAAAATTTAGTCAAACATGCACTTAGAGAGGTGTTGCATTTAGAGAGGTAAAAATCTATAGATGTAATATTAGTTGGGCCCAAGAGAAGACTGTATTTAGGGAGGTGTTTCATCGGATATGCACTTAGGGAGGTAGCATTTAGGGTCTGACTGTACATCATATATTCTGTTGGGTTAGCAGAATATATCTCATCATGACTTTAACTTATGCGATAGGATCCATTTTATATGATGTTAAAATTAGGAATGATTCAGTTCTGAAAAGACCGAATAAGGACCAGTCTTTTAACCATTCCTACGGTTATTTGTCCCCGGTCTAACCAGTCATTATGGTTATTTAATTAAAATTATTGAAAAAAAAAAGAATACTATATCTGGTATGTTATATTATTTAAGATGGTTAGAGGCTTAAATAATAATTAAAGACCGTTTTGAGCTGTACTGAAAAAAAATATTAATGAATCAGTCTTATCAGGAATCAGGACAGGCTTGACCGGATTGATCTATCCTTAATTAAAATACATGCCTAATGATAACGTATCTTGCATGCACCTGTTACTAGAAGAATCCATTAATAATATTTTGATATATTAATTGTATTCCTAGAAAACAGGGCTTAACCCACTATATTAATTTGCCGGCCATTTATTGCGCCACTGCCATTGTTTAAAATGTTCTTTTTTGATTCATCAAAATTAGTATACCAAATCAAACCAACAATAGCAATAAATAACGAATAGAAAATTTAAAATTTATTTCTATTTTTTAATTATTAAAATTCACAGTAGAAGCGTTAAATAAAAGTGTAAAGTTATCAAACCAAATCTCATTAAAAATTATGGAAATAACGTTTCAACAAATTAAACATGTTAATAGAAACTTTAAGCCAAGTTGAAAAAGTGACTTTTCATAGCTTGAGTATGACACCCAAAATAATATTATGTTTGTACCCTATGTCATGATCATAATAAAAAAAATACATTTGCAACAAATGGCAAGTAAAAACTTTATATCATACAACATATTAGCATATAGTTGATTTATTAATAAATATTTTGTATATAATTAGGAGCTACAAATATTAAATTTTATTCAATAAAAGAGCATGCTAAAATCAAAGACCATGCCAATTCATGTGCAAAAAATAAAATTTTAAATATACCATCTGAACATGTTAAAAGTTTAATGAAAATCATTTATTGTCTTGCCAATAATGATATTTCATTAAATAAATTCAAGCAATTAGCTCATCTTGATTATGCAATTAAAGCTTCAGATTTGATTTCTGAAAATCATCCAATTACTTATAAAAATAATAAATATGCATATGAATTATTA